TCATGTGGTGAATCCACTAGCCAACGTGGACATTGGGTCTCTTCGATGTCCCTGGAACTTATCGATGCTCGACGGCGCATTCCGGCTGGAAACGAACACTACGAGACTCGCAAAGTAATCAGGGCAAAACTCCGTACTAGCCTGGAGAGACCGCGAATCCTGGTGGTCACATTGTGCATGAGAGATGAAAGTGGCCGCTGTCATTAGTAACCATTGGAACTTATTCCGTCCGATACGGGAAAGAAGCAGCAGAAGACCTGGTGTTAGTGAAACCCTTTGTGACGAGAGTGGACAGCCCATCCATTTGTTAAAACGCTTAGAGCGTAGGGTTGAGTCCTTTTAAAGGCAATTTAATAGGACAGTAATGTCAGGTTCCCCACCGACAGTGATCGCTCTGCTCCCTGGGCTGTATCCTTGGATCCATCGTCCTCTCGCTCAGAAGTTGAACGTAAGATCGTACTGTTGAAGCAACATAAAGCCGCGGGACCACACGATTTTCATCCAGCCCTCTACAAATTCGGGGGACTTGTTCTTGTGGATGATTTACAGGGGTTAGTAGTGAAACTGTGGAAGCAGAAAACTGTCCCAGCCGACTACAGCCGCTCCGATATTGTCCTGATCTTCAAAGGATGCTCGCGTTCGGAAGGCAGCAAGCGTAGATGATTCAGTTTGATCCCCATTGCCTCCAAATTACTTACCTATGTAATTCTTCACAGAATGACTGGCGCTCGCGAAAGCCAGATTCGTGAAGAGCAAGCCGAGTTTCGTCGAGGTGGGGGCCGCATGTTCACGTTACGTCAATTGTTGGAGCAACGTCACATACTGGCGGCCCAATGTTGTCGTGTTCCTCGACATCAAAGGTGCCTTCGATTCGGTGGATCGATGTGCCCTTTGGAACTGTCTACTGCGGAAAGGTGTGCTCAAGGAATATGTAAATATTATCCGAGAGCCACAAGCGAGTAACTCGGAGACAGTGAGGGCTTACGGCAAACTGTCGCCGCCCTTCAATATCACACGCGGTGCGAAAACAAGGATGCCCGCTGATACCTTTCCTTTATAACTTCGCGATTGACGAAGTCAAAGTGAATGCGTTTACAGGATCAGACTTAGTTGTTGAGCTACACCCAGGAGAACGACTTCTTGATTTGGAGTATGCTGAAGACATTGCCCTCATACGTCACAACTCACAAACGTGTCAAGCAGCACTAGACAGATTAGCACTGGCTGTCAGCAGATTCAAAGTTTACTTTGCACCCTCGAAGTGCAAAGATTCACCCTAAGATTGGCAGGGGTGGCCTTCTGCGCTGAGCCTTGGTAAGGATCTGCTAGAAGTCGTTCGGTAATTCAGATATCTAGGCAGTTGTATCAGCATCTGTGGAATAGAAGACGAGGTCACGAACCGTATGGCAAAAGCTCGAGGCGCTATTGCCAACTTTCGCTGCCTAGATCGCCGGCGCGACTCTCTCCCTGAAAAGTAAAGTTTACAATGAAGCCGTACCGCTCGGATGCAAAACTTGGCCCACAAATTCAACAGACACAAAGAGGCTGGTTACGTTCGATCGTCGTTACCGTAGCGTGGCTCATGTGTGGTGAAAGAACCGCGTGAGAAGTGGGCGTGTTCGGTGTTGTATATCTGGTGTAGGAATCGAGAGTGAACCGCTCAGAAATGTCGTTTCACGCACCAGGCTCCGATGGGTTGGCCACATGTTGCGCATGCCAACACACCGACCACCGCGACGTGCGTTGCTTGTGCACTCGGGGGCTGGACGGAAGAAGAGGAAGGGAGGCCAAGCAATGGCTTGGTCAAGAGTAATGAAGAGCACATTTCAAACCTGGCATCCGTTGGAGCGTCTCGGCTCCCTGGTTGGGATCCAAAAGATGATGAACAAGTTTGACTGGATACGCTTGTTGATTTGACTAGGAGCCGAGCTCAGTGGCGTTTGTGTTGTGAGTTTCTTTGCCCCTGCCCTGCAACCACGATCTTCTTTTCTAGGTGCAATATAATTCTTTCTTTTTTGTGTCACTATGGCCGGCTGGTAACTCTCCGGAAGAATGCCCATCCGTTACTGGTGGCTCAGCTGTCATGCCTCTGTTCATTGATTCGTTAATTTGCTTTTGTATCGGAACACAAGTAGCTGTGGTGTTTTCCACCACTTGCTAACGTGTATAATGATGATGATGATTATCCGCTAACTAAATTGGACGAAATAGTCCAGAAAAGCTATACGTTCGAAGCATTCAGTATATAAGATTTACAGGGCGCTTACTATAAAATTGCTGTCAAATATGATACACACCCGTACACGGCTTTTGAGGCTAGTGGCAAACCTTACCAATGCTGCCACACACCTTTCGGAGTAACCAATGGCGTCTCCTGCTTTCAAGGAACAATCGACGAAATAATCTTCAACGCAAACTTATCTGATAAATGTCTATATAGACAACGTCACGTCTGTTGAAAATTCCCAAATAAACATAGACGGAATTTACATCGCTTTCTGAATGTCGCTTCAAAGCACAGCATCACTTGCAATAATACAAAAAACGTATGCGGGGCCAAGCAAAGTCAAAGTTATACGATGCGAGATTTGGAACGGAATAATTAAGCCCGATTCGGAGCGATTGAAGTCATTGCAAGAATTAGCTCCCACCGGCATCAGGACTCAACGATGAGTGACAGGGAAGTTCGCTTACCACATCCAATACACAAAATAAGCCAGTCACACACGCTTGCCCATGCCACCATCTGTCCAAAAGTACTTTGAGAATTTGAAGGAGTGCAGTACATACCACTGCCGAACCTCATGTACCGCCGTAGTTGAAACTGATGCTTATGATGTTGATAACTCAGCTGCCTTAAACCAAGACGGAAGGCTGATAGCATACTTTTATCGCACGTTATCTTCCATTGAGAAGCGAAATTAATCAGTAAGAGAAGCCAACGAGAAAACGGCTGCAGTTATTACTTGGTAACCACCTCAAGCAAGTCACAGATAAACGTTCTGTGGCTTTTATGCACAAGAGTACAAGCCAGAAGAAAAATAAAAAAGATAAAATACAGCACTCAAGACTTGAACTTGCGCCTCTTCACCACGGTGTTATATATGGACCCGTAAAATTCAATCATGGAGCCGATGCATTCACATGTGCTTACTACGGCAGCTCGTTTGGCAGTCCAGAAGTAAACAGTTTCATGAGTCCCTGTGTCACCCGGGCATAACTTGCATGATTCATTTCGGCCGGGACAAAAACCGGCCGCATTTTGTGACTGAAATCAAATCCATGATTTCGAGTTGTGCCGTCTGCTGTGAGCGGAAACCGAAGTTTCTCTATCCCCTTTTGGAAGAGCTGGTAAAAGCAATTCAGGCTCTGGAATGCTACAATGTTAAAGGGTCCCATCCCTTGAAACAGCTATCTAACAACAAATGTAAATGAGAGTTCCGTTTGCCGTTGGCTTTTGCTTGTCCCAACTTTACCTCTTCCACTGTGATAAGCTGCTTCAGTAAGCTATTTACGATGTTCAGCATGCCAGCCTATAAGCATTTAGACAGAAGTCCCTCCTTTATGTCAGGTGAACTGCGTGACTTTCCTCATAGCAAATTAAAAGCAACAAACCAAGCAACCGCATGTCGTCCACAAGCCAATGGGCAAGTCGAACGCCTGAATGGAACATTGTGGAGAGCCATTTCTCTCGCCCTACGCTCCAGTAATCTCCTAATTGGTCATTGTGAGATTGTCATACCCGATGCAATAAATTCGACTCGATCGCTTTTGTGCAATGCAACAAACGTGACCCCACACGAGGTTTTCCAAGCACAATCAGAGGTCTACGTCTGGTTTTACTATTCCTACCTGGTCATAATCGCCGGGTCCGGTTGTCGAAGTTCGATTCTCTTGTAGAATAAGCGTGTAGCCATTATTACACACATGTTTGATCTTCAAACGGCACCCATGAGCGAACACCTGCCTGAGAACATCATCAGCAGTATGTCGGTACTGAGTACCGACGCTTCGTTGCCGTGCAACCATCATCAGTCGCATGTAGACTAAGAATACTGAGAGATGAGTCGCGCGATCCATACGCAGGCTCGAACCCGCGCCCTCGGATTACTATACAGACTTGTGATTGTTAAGGCTAGGTTCCACCTGCCCGAACACCATAATAATAAGATAAACTTCGGTCCCGAGGAAAGAATCATATCGGTAGAGGAGGATCAGATCTGTGTATGCGAAGAAATCGACATGCTTCCGGACCATCCTCAATCAAATTTTATGGAACCGTTGTCCCCAAGGAAGGAAGTTGAAGTACTTCAACAGAGAGACACAAACATTGGCTTTATTTCTCTTGTGTGAAGCGTTACAACCCACAAATCTTCAAAAACGCTGTTCAAATACACCGCTTCCGCCACAAGGAAACTATAGTTTACTACCTGACTTCTTCCAAACATCAGTTGTGTAGAACTATATAGTATTCTTCTAAGCATATCTGTCGTTGCCACTATACCTCCACTATCCTTTAACACTTGCGGCCCTCGTCTCGATTCACATACGAATAAACTCTGATTTCCAAGGTCTTGATCCCTAAGTTTCTAGTCAGTCTCTGCTCCGTTGGTCAAGCACACCCCCGACATACATACATATACCCATTATTTCACTGTTAGACTTGTGACATTTTGTGTATTCACCGATCAACAGTTGAGCTTTTTCTATGGTCATGCTTATGCAGGCATGCCTCGCATTGTCGAGAGTAAACTATTCGGTTACTTATCAGATCATGCCACATAGCTCACTTAACTTCCTCGGTAAACATGCAGCGTCCGAAGTAAAAAATGCAACCCCGGGATCACCACAGTAAATATCCTGAGTTTAAATGAGGTTAAATGCAAAAGGAATTTGGGACGGTGCGGATGATAAGCAATAATAGCAATATATGGGCCAACATCAAAAGATAAACATGGATGTCATGAAAACTTGCGAGGTTCAACAAACTGGTAATTCACTTTCGATAGCTCAGCAGTTGCAGCGTCTGATCCATGTACCTCTGTGCTAACTGGATCGCTGGATCATCAGCAAGGCGGTCAGAAAAACACGGTCCCTCGTCGCACAATTGGCGGATGCGGTTCAAAAAACAAGGTTCCAAGAGACCTTCGCGGACGGCCCAAATGAAAAGCGTGCTTGCTCTTGATAAGTCGGATAGTAACGTCTGGCGTTGGCTTGAAAGAGGTGTGATAAAACAGCAGTCAGATAAGTTCCGGATGTCAAGAGTATAAAAAGTTATGAAACGTGCGAGTACAATTGAAATGATTAATTCGAGACCTGGCACCTCTTCCTACCATACTTATCACCCTTTGTTACTAAATATTCATGGGATTTGTGGGAGATACTCGGTTAACTGGTTTGGCAGTAAGAAAACAATGCCACAACTCTTCCCGATTGTTATTTTGCTTCACAGCCAGCGTCAACGTAAAATACTCCCGATGGGGGTGAATTTTCGGTTATCCGCTCACAGCACCGCAATCCAAGAGCGGTACAGGCTCAAACCCGGGATCTGTTGGTTATCAAGCGAAGTCTATTCCAACGGCATTGAGTTGTGGTGCGCAATTCTTTCCAAAACGCGACTCGGTGGCGTGGAAGTGGGGATTTCGGCGCATATCCCAAAGGTCTCGGGTTCAAGCGGTATTTCCTTTATCTTAATCTGACGAGGTCAAATAAGTATGGAATCGATCATGAAGTGCAGTGTTGCGAGCGGGTAACAACTAGAACTTATTTGCTGTAGATGCGATCCTAGTGACCGAACTGACTAAAGGCAATTCGAAACAAATGGTCGTTCAGATTACAATCCTTTCTTAAGAGTGCTGTAAAATAACGCACACTTATCAGTTTTTCACGATTTGAATGTTTGGAAAAATTTGTTGGCCGTCCGATGCAATCGTGACGCTTTGTCAAGCGCCTGTGTTATGTCTCGTACTTGGTCCCGACGAACGAACTATACGGGCCTAATCGATGTGAAAGTGTAATTAGTGGCTGTACAGAGAAATAAATGGTAGCAACCTACATTCCGTCCTTTGCAGTTAATCAATGTCTGGCAGACCATAAGAATTGTCAATAGTACATTGTCTTAGCATTTGGGTACTGAATGCGAATTACGTTTGGGGTGTTTGGGATTGAAACGCGTCGTTCCTTAGTGTAACGATGAAGTGTTGATTTGAAATTCCCATGCTGGCACGAGCGCTAAGTAAAACAGTTACAACTCGACTCACATGGTGTTAAATGAAGTAAAGTCTACACAAATGGGTAACTGTTTGAACATATTAAAAGTGAACATCAAGTAGATATTAAGCTGAACTCATTTAGTTGCCCGCAAGGGCGCAAGAAAAGCAGCTAAAAACGTTGAGCGCGTCAAGAGTAAGTGATAGCCTATGAGGCCAGGTAATCCATAAAACAGAAAGCTAATAAGGCATAATCAGAGAATAGTTTTCAGTCAACTTAATGCCCTATATGACCCAAGTACCGATTTATCATGAACGTAGCAAACGTGTTGGCAAAAGTGACAATAGTGGTTTGGAAGAATGATGCTTAGCAAGTCGATTAGGTAAGAGAACAGACGGCAATTTCTAATGTATTAAGTTGTTCTGACTAATGTACACTGAAATACAGCAATTCTGGGATTGGATTAGGCGTATAAAAAGCATCATGCCAGAAGCCGAGGGTTATATCCTGCAACATATGCACCGGTGATCAAGAACTCTATACGATGATGCGACAGACGCCTGGGTCCAATACCACAGCTTCAACCAGAATGCCTCAATCGCGGTAGCGGAAACAATCAATCACCAATCGTATAAACCCATACGACGCACCTGCTGGATAGTTGGAACGCAGCCTCAATTTGTATTTGAAGGGAGGAAAACACGCGTTCGAAGAAGGCTGCAAATCTGATAAGCGCAGATCAAAGAGAAATAATGTGCGACTTTTGATCTCAATACAAAATATGAATGCGTAGCATTTGATAGCAGGGCCAGTGTAAGTATCAATGAGTTGAAAAGTGACAGAAAAGTGGGGACATGGACTATTTGCATTGCACTACAGAAAGGAAACACAGTTAGGGTGGTGGTGGTTAGGTCGATACCTAGTTTATCATCAGCTATTATTAAGGAAATCTTAAAAAGTGAATCCCTTAGTCACATTAGATGAAGAATATATGCACAACAAATAGTCTTAGATCCAATGATTAGGGCGAAGGTAGACAATGAGTGGTCATTGGAGGTGGAAGCCACAACGTCAGTTGAGTTAGGACAATTAGAAGGAAATGCAATATAAAAGTCAGGAGATACACCAGTATATCGCATAATTACCACCACTACTGCATTGGCAAAGGATACTGCGAGGGTCTCTAGGTCTTGCCCTTTCGGGTACCGGTCAGTGTAGGTAAGCTCAGCAACTGTTGTAGTGGCTTCGCAGGTTGAATAGGTAAGTGGACACGACTTGCATAGTGCATAAGTTGAACCAAGTAACACCATGTTTAAGGGCCAATCCTCGTGAATATAGTGTTAAAGTAGCTAATTCGACAATAAGCCATCGAACGGGTGCACAATAAAGCCAGTAGTAGAATGGCCTGACAACAGAATCTCAGACAAAGCAATCAAGGAGCATCAGATAAAAACAGTGAAGCTTAAAAAGGTGAATAGAGAGTAAAAGCTTCCAGGAAAACGGAATAGGTTAATGGCAACATAACTATTAGTAGGCGTTACCCATGGGTGAGAAACACCTCAGTTTTCGTGCCGCAATACAAAAAAGATTTATAAAAAAGCGGAACATTAATCAGTACAGAGTGCGAAATGAAAACAAAGAAGCAAGTAATATAATGGTATGGTCATTTTGAAATACACGTTAAGTGAATGGATTGCTACGTGTAATTTCATTGTGAACCACAAATCCCATAAAGTGAACCTTGGTTATCCGATCATTAAGGCCGCAGTTGAAGCAGATAGAAAATTGGTGTTGCCAGCCCGGAAACGGTGCACTCCATGACGCGTTTCGACCTTAGTTAAATTGAACCCGGGACCACTGGGATGTTAGTTGTGACCGCTACCCTTAGGCCACCGGGTCGCGAGCGTCAACCTTGGAACAATGAATAACGGCTGATTTAACATATATATATATATATATATATATATATATATATATATATATATATATATATATATATATATATATAATACACAATCTGTGGTACAGATATTGTGACATCGGAATCATGGCTGAATAGGAAGACAATTTGAATAATAAGAAAAGAGCAACAACAAATGCTTTTTTGTCTATTTTGCCGCTCACAGTTTTTGAAATTTTTTTCAGTTTGTTCTTTTTTGGGTGGAGGAAGAAGGGACACCGCAACAAACTGATGCACACGTCCGCCATTGACATCGATCTTGAGCCATGGCTTCCAAGGTCTTCAGCCAGCAAGTATCCGCATCTCTCGGACCCCAACCAGGTAATCGACAACAACCGGCCGATGCCAACTGCTTCGTCATATTTTTCATGCGGCTTCTCCATGTTGTAGGCTGTCCACCATACCGTATCTTCCAGCCGTGTCCAGCAAGTGCAAACAACGCACGACGGGGGTAACGCTGGACAGGCATGCACAATACACGTCCCAACCACCGCAGTTGATGCAGTGAGACGAGCTCCTCGAGCGAGTGACTTCCACGTCCCAATACACGCTGTCTAACTTCCACATTGCTTATGTGGTGCTGCCACCACTCACGGGCAATGGACCGCAGACAGCGGTGCTTGAAGACGGAAGCAAGAATGAGTGCAGGCAGAGGCCCTTCCCAGTCTTGGAAGAGAGCCTTGCATCTGAATGGCGAAAAGTACATACCACACTTTGATGCTTCAAGCGCCAAGCGGTTTAATGCAAGTTGGACGACGTGTGGATCGTCACCCAGCATGACGATATCATCCGCATAATCCAAATCAACAACTCGACTAACTGGGAGGATCTCAGTGCCAGCGTTCAACGAATCGCCTAGAGCGTTCTTCATGACATCCTCAATGGCAAAGTTGAATAGGAACGGAGATAGGGCATCCTTGTCGAACTCCACTGGAGACCACAAAGGTAGGCGAAAGCTTGCCATAAGCCCTAACCCTGCCCGAGGTAAGACTATAGAGAGCGCTGATTAGAGAGTCATTAGGAAATTCACGTTGTATGAATGGGCTACGACGCGCAATCTTAATGTGGACAGCGATTCCCAGTAAAGTGAACCCTGGTCAAGCGATCAGTAAGAACATGGCTGAAACAGATGTAAATAAATAGTATGCGTAGACAATGAGATCGTGGCTAGATAAAGAGAATAAAAGGGAGGTGGAGGGAAAGGAAACTCACAACACGAATGTCATGTCAACAAGTGTATCCAACCAAACGTGCCCATATCCTTAAGACCCCAGTCCGGCAGTCTGGAGGCACCCACCGACGCCAACTTCGAAGTGAAGGACTTCAATCCTATTGAGCAATTCTTCTCTTGGCCTCCCTTTTCCATCAGACCAGCCGCGCAGGCACCGCAAGAAGCGGCAGTCGGTGAGCTGGGATGCACAACACGTGGCCCAGCCATATGAGTCGGTTCACTCGCTCTTCGTGCACCAAATGCAGGACGCTGAACACCCCCATTGCTCATGCGGTGCTCCCACCAGACTTGAGTCAAACTATGAAGGCAAGGATGATCGAACGTAACTAACCACCGTCGATCTGTTAGGCCAAGTTTAAAAACTGTACAGGAGAAATGAACGCATACAAATATTGTGAACGTGTAATAACGCTGTTTCCACAATAGACCGCTGGTTCACGCCTCATGGTAAATCTGCGCCCTTACGCCTGCTCTGCTTGACGCCTTGGCTAACCCGACAGAAAGGAAAACAGAAGACTCAGCCGAGCAGTTTTATTAGAACCGAGAACGCTCATATTTATAGGTCGGTTTCACCAATCCTCTAAACACCGCCTGGCGGATTTGGCTACCTCTCTTCCTCGTACGCCCACGCTCCACACTTGATTGTTCGCTCCATTTGGCCAGTTCACTGTCTTACTCGGACACGCCAGTCTTCACCCGCCCACCCGGGGCATAGCAACCTACATGGTGTCTGACGCGCGATTTCGCCAGCTTCTGGTCAGACTTTGGCAACAAGCATGATGTCTGATGCGTGATCTCACCAGCTTTCAGGCTGGGCCGTGGCAACACGCTCGCGGGGTCTGTCCCAAGCACGATTTGTGGCGAGCATGCTCGCGTTGGCAATCCACTTCCACGCCCACGTTTTAAAACGAGAGAGAGAGAGAGAGAGAATGATGTCGCACCGTCGCCACAGGTAACAGACATTGGCTTTTGCCACACGGTTATTGCACTTATCTTACATAGCATAGGTGCTAAAATAGTTGCCTAGGTACCTAAATTTCTAGCTGATTACCACCGAGGGTCAGCGCAAAGGTGGGTACTTGTAAATCATGGAAAAGGATTTCGCATTTTGAAGGTGCAAAGTACAGCCGGAAACCATTGACAACAGTACTAATCAGTCCAGTGTGGCTTGGCACGTTTGGGAGGTGTTACAAATTAGGACAATGTCGTCGCGTACATTAAGTCAAGTCGATCACTTGGGAGCAGCTCCACACCTCCTAGACCAGGCTCAATGAGCGCAGTTTCCAGGTATTCATCGATAGCAAAGTTAGGAAGAAAGGTGATAGCGGGCATCTTTGCCTCACATCGTTGGAGATATTGAAGGGCGGTGATAGCTTACCGTGAGTCTTCACTCAACCGGAACTACAAGCGTAGAGCGCTTTCATGACACTTACGTACTAATCAAGCACACCTCTCCTGAGCACAGTTCCAAAGAGCACATCGATCCACCGAATCGAAGGCATCTTTGATGTCGACGAACAAGATTACGATGGGTCGTCAATTAATACGACGGTGTTTCACCAACTGAGGGAATGTAAAGATATGATCAATACAACTCCGACTTCGAAGAAACCCGGCTTACTCTTCACGGTTGCCAATCAGCCTGGGGAGAACGAATGAAATCAGCAAGCCAAAGGCAAATGGGATCAGATTGATTCCTTTATGATAGCTGTATTCCAAATGTGAGGCCTGTTTAGAAATTAAGAATATAACGGTCGATTGGGACAGTCTCCTGCTCCCCCAGCTCCACTAATACGGTGTGTAAATCATCCACAAAAGATGCTCGTCGAATTTGAAGAGGGCTGGAGGAAGTATATCTGCTGCTGCGGCCTTAATCAATACCAACAGTCGGATCTCACGTTCAACCGCTGAGCGCAAGAGTGGATCTAATGGGACGGGTCAGGGAGCATGGCCGTCACTGGCAATTCCAGATGATTAAGTTGTTTCTCAGAGTGCCTAACGTTCCAAGCGTTTTGACAAACTGTGAACAGGTTGTTCAATCTCGCCGCAAATGGTCTCGCTAACACCAGATCTCCTGCTGCCCGTTTGGCGCATCACACGGAATAAATTTCGATGGATACTAAGGGTAGCTGCTATTTCCAGCTATGTACGGTGAGATCATAGGTTTCGCACTTTCGGCAGTGACAGTCACTGCGGGTGAGTTTGCACCGTTTCCTGTTCGCGTACATGAACATACCAAATGAAGCAACCGGTAGAAGCCCAGCAGATTTCATGCTCGATCGTCGCTTGCGTACATGATTAGATTTACTGCATAGAACCATTGAGTCACAAGTTGCTGAAGGGCAACAACGGGCAAAGGTACATTTCGATAATTGCAGGAGAGAGAGAACTGTGACAGTCAGGCCTCGTTTACGCCTGTCTACCTACAGACCGTGGTTGGGAGAGAGCTGTCGTTAAAAAAAACTAGTGGACAGATCACAGAAGCAAAAACTGAGGATGATCGGATCGTGCGGTGCCATTTGGATCATGCGCGA